AAACGATCTAGTTACTAGTTTCTAAAGCAGCTATATTATGTAGTCAGCTGTAAAAATGTGGAAGTAATTGCTTTTAAAATAAATAAAATATCCAAATTCTTGCAACAGTCACATATTCGAAGATCATAAGGGGTTTAAGGTGTATGAGCCCCCTTAAAGCCTACATTTAACTTCAAAGTTTTCAATTACATTTTAAGGCATATATTACAATCTTTTTTATCCTACAAGTACTATATATCAAAATTGCTATACAGAATGGGTATACTATAGTATCACATATACTAAATATACAAAAAGTCCGGAGTTACTAGAGGAAACATGAGAAATTCGGCATTATGTTGATATAAATGATTTAAATCAACATTATGAAAGATTTATCCTGCGTCCATAGAGGCGGACATGTACTAGTAACTAGCGTTACAGTACGGAAGTGTTTAATACATTGCTGACCTTCTCTTTTCCGGTCGCGAATGTGTTATCATATCAGTAGACGATTATTGCTCAAGCGATATGAAACAACTCAACAGAAAAATCTGAAAATGATTCTTTACTGCATTTAAATATGCGTTCATATCGTACTCACAGCTTGTGAGCAACTATTCGACGCAATGCGATACTCATCCTTTTTCGCGAACTCCGTAAATAATTCAGATAATTTACGTTATGCGAAAGGCTATTTTACTTTTCTCTTCAGGTACAAGTGTTATCGAATTCTTTTAAGCATTGTCGAGTAAAGAGCGTATACCACGCGCCGTCTTATCACTCTTGCGTTTCAAGAATTTATCGTTCTTCCGTTTTATAAAGAAATCTTTGTTGTGCACTCAAAGCTCTGACGTCACAAGCAGTTTTCAAATGAAAGAAGGGTGAAGTGAAAGAAGGGTGAATGAAGAAGTGAAAGCTTGCACTTTCACTCTTTTTTAAATAAGTATTTCATTTATATTTATAGGATGCTAGATGAAATAGCAGAAGGCAATAGAATACTACTCGTGGACGTTAAGAGGGAGGGGAGAGGATGGGAAGAAGAATTCGCTGTCTCATTCTTTAAGATTTCATCTCAACACCGGGAAAGTGTTGAAAAGCGAGATTCTTGTAGACTGAAAAGAATAGATTTATTAAACAATATGAAACCAATTTTTTTATTATAATTTCTGTATACGGATTAAAGGAAGTATAGTAATTGCATAAAAATTTTGGATATCAGATTTCAACGAAAATATCAATTTGATCATTCTAGAATCCATTTTGACTAGTTTTTTGCTTGACGTCTGTACGTGACGACAGAATAAAGGTCTCATTATTCCAAAACAGGTTATAAAATTGATTCTTTGCGTCGTTTTTACGTCTGTACGTATGTATGTTAGCCTTTTAGAACGTTTAAATTTTATATATGGGACTACTATAACATCTGCAGAGACATTAGGTATTTTGGAAGCAGGAAAGATGAAAAATATGCAACGCCTTCGCTGGGAATCGAACCACAGACCTCTCAATTCGTGCTGAGCGTGCAGACCATTACACCACGAAGGCTCGCTAAGAAGGCGGGAGAAATACCTTATACATCTAGTTGTGCCCCTCCCTAGTTTATTGCAATCGGCAGTACCAATATTATGTAGGCAGGGTGATCGTAATTAAACTTGGGCTATTCTGAGCACTCTGTAACTAGAATGTGATTGATTTTAAAATTCGCAAAGAGACAATTCAAAGAATACACTGAAAGATTCCGGGGAGGGGGGAAGTTAAAAAAATTTCCTCTAGGGGCGTGTGGTGTAGTGGCCGAAAACACTACGCAAACCCTGGGTTGTGACACAGGGTTTAAATGAACTTCTAACTCAAGTTTTAACAATAACATGAATTTTAATAAGATGAAAACATTAGCAGTTGCTTATCTTGATAGTATGGGTCTTGTATATAGTTAGTCCTGTGATTTCACAATTTTGTTACAGGAAAATTGCTCTAACGCATTATACACGAGGAATGATCGTTCTCAGCAGGCCAACATGCCCATAGCTCTAAACAGGAAAAATTCTCTTCTCAGGAAACCACCTTATATATCTCTCTGTGTTTACTTGCGCTGAACTCCCAGGGGGGAGGGAATGATTCTTTCACTCATACATAACGAAGTGTCCATCTCCTGGCCCTGATGAAAAGACTTCTTTTACCTCTTTGTTCACTGGAATGACCTTCGAGGCTGCAACCGGAATCGTTAACAAAGGCACAGGATTTCAACTGGAATATGAAAACTATTGCACTCTGAAAACTAATCCCAGACAAAGAACCTTTATGCCACCTCATTACAGGCGCATTACAGACAAGATGCGTTAAAAGACCATGCAATAAACAACCGTGGTCTATTTTAACATTTCCGAGATCGACCATCTGCTTGTTACCAACATTGAATCTTTTGCGCAGACATTTCTTGCCCGAAAGGAAGTCCATGACTCTCAGCCGTGGAATATCCTCTGGAGAGATGAGGCACATTTTTATCTCGGTGGAAACGTGAACACCAAGTGCTGTCGCATTAGGGCCATAGAAAGTCCATGCGCCTTCCACACAGTTTCACTACACTCGCCTAATGTGCCAACTTGCCTGATGTGGGTTCACTTCCCAATTTATCCTTGGGCCATTCTTCTTCGAAGAAAATTACAATAATGGCACTGTAACATGCTCTGGAATGACCCTCATATATCCTTACATGCTCAACAGTTTCTACTTACCTCAACTTCAGAAGCGACAAGGCCTTGCGTCTAACACTTTTATGCAGGGTGTTGCCCCCTCCACATAATAAACTTTGCGTAAAGAGGTTTCTGTGGCAATATTTTACCGATGAGCTGATTCAAGCAGATAAAGGACACACGTGTTCGGGCTTGCACAATCTACTCAAATATCAATGCAAGAACAAAATTCTGGAATTTTGGATTGTCCTTGTGAAGAAAAATGGATTTACTTCAACAACACTAGCCGAAAAGGGGGTTCATCTGCGTCCGGTGAGCCCGTCATCAGCGTCAGAAAGCGCAGTTTGACTAACAGAAAGATCATACTGTTGCGTGCATACGGGTTCGTAAGATATTTTCGGTTAGGTTTGAAAAAATTCCACGTAGCCGCAACATTATTTCCGTGGTTAGGCGGGATTTCGCTCGGGGCTCTTTTTTCTAGGAATCCTCCCGTTTAAACCAGTGCTACCAGAATCTCGTTTCTCAGAAAAGTCCCGTCTAGCAGAGACTGTAGCTATGTGTGATATATTAAGGTGTACAGCGAGATGCTAGTCCGTGTTGACGTTCCTATCAAGGAAAAACATCGAATTGAGTTCCGGCGCATAAAAGTAATGTTTGATCAAGATAATGCAAGACCACATGCGTCTGCATTCAGCGGGTGGATTCCGTATGGACTCTTTTTGCCACATTCAACCATATAGCCCCTAAATCGCTCCTTCGGAATTCTACCTTTCTTCGCACCTGCAGCTACATCTTGCTGGTGCTGTCTTCTATTCTGCAGAGGACGTCCAAAATGAGGTTGATCTGTATTTGGATTTGCAGCCACCATATTTCTGGGCCGAAGGCTTTGAAAAACTACCGAAACGTGTGTTTCGATCTTCATCATGAGACAAAAACCTTTACCGCTAACCATGAAATCGTCCACTAGTGGGCAATATGGACCAGGTTGACAATCCCTGGTATAGTATTTAAAAAATATGCGTATAAAATCTTATTTCTTTCTAAGATGTAAAATTCTTTAAACTTCGCCTTCTCCATCCAGATGCCAAGCTACTGATACAAGCTAAACTGCAAAATAGTCTTTGGCTATGGCCACAACAAACTTACCAAGAATTCATGCAGTAACGTAGCCGATAAATTCTCTCCTATGCCATATGTTGGTTAAATCAGCTAATAAGACGATAAAATTAATAAGCATATAAATAATAAGTAAATATGCAATTTAAGTATTTATATTTACGTACGTGTCACTTTGAACTGTAATTTACACACATTTGCGATATGCTGAATTTTACACCTCTAAAAAAAACTACTGTAATTGACGTAAGTTGTATCCAGTTGTGGGGATTCATTTAATTTATCTAACAGTTAATTTTATTTTGAAGCAACATTTTATTTTAAAACAACTTCTCTAGCCATTGATCCATGCTGAAATTCTCGTTTCCAATGTAAGCATTCTTGCTAGAATGTTAAACAGTTAGCGCACGTGTATGCGGTAGAAAGAAGTAATATTTAAAGGAAGGTTTTGGAAGGTGACTTTAGAGCGTTTCATGCCTTCCTGAATGTCACATTGTTATCTTTGATGTACTAGCGATTAGATTTCTGCGGCGTTGAGTGCTTCTAGCCATTAGACTTGTTTACGCCGACTTTTTATGAATCAGAGTCTGCCTTCGCGTTAAATAACATGTGAAAGGTCGTCAGGCTAATTTTATTCTATTTTATTTATCTTACTTGTTACTTTTTAAGTTAAGCCCAAAATGTTGGCTTCTGTAAGCACGGCACCGTGCTGTATGTGAAATTTATACTGAGTTAATAGAAGGTTCTTTACATCCGTCTCTGGACTTTGTCGTACTTCAGACTTGAAGATAACTCTTCCCTCGTTAGTTTATGTTCGCAAAGCGCACGAAATGCTATGCACTATGGGAAGAAGTTTTTTTTTTTTTTTTTTTTTTTTTTTTTTTTTTTTTTTTTTCTACAGTGAATTAATTCTTACAATTCCGAAAACGCAGGCGCAACTAATAAGCTTATAATCGACCTTTGTAATAACCTGTGAGCTGTCTCTTCAGCAGCTTTTAAGTTTTTACTGACTACTCTACTTCTTTAAATAGCTTGTAATAAGTTTTTCCTATGTAATAAGCCTTTTCTACTTGGAAAGCTTGTCCTGGGAAACACCTGAATAGTGTTAAGCTATGCTTCGTAAATAAAAATCAGTTTTAAAAATTATCTTTGAATAACAGATGAAGGTATCGCTGAATTCTCAAACGTAATATAACTTTAGAATCTGCTTACTTGCTCATAATCAATGATGAACGACATTGGCGTTTCCATCAGCTGTCTTAAGGAGTGGTTTGTTCTGATTGCAGATAAGAAGCTCAAGCAAGTTTTCAGAAGAACGTCAGTCCAAGCATCCAATACCACCTGCTGCTTAACAGTAGATCTCAGGTTCCACAGCATATCATTCATCTTCTCTAGCCATTGATCCATGCTGAAAAACCATAAAATTAAATTTAAGCATTTGTGTGTTATAACTTTTTTTCATAAGAAATTTATTTGACATATGCTTAGCTCTAGTATTATAACCAATGACATGCCCTGATTTAGACAGTCTAGAAATTTAGTCCAGCTCTCTTTGAAACTTCATTTTAATCGTACTAACATGGAAAATACTTAGTCTTCTCTCCTTTTTTTTATGAAGAAAAAGTAAGATTATGAAAAATCCCAGAGGGATTGGATGCCTTAGGCCTGGGTTAGATGGGTTTAGGTGGCAATCAGGCCCTAGCTGACAACTGTTATTTAAAATTCTTTGCATTGTATCTATCTTATCATTCTGTATATTATAATATATCTCATTTGTAAATCATTTTTATAATTTCTCTTAAAAATTATTGTTATTCATTATGCATTCTTAGCTCTTTTGCTTCCACTGAGTTTCGAAACAGAGATGTTTTGGGTTTGTGGAAGAACGTTTTCCAAACTTAATTGCCAAAGCCATGTCTTTCTCTTCGTGAATTTTTGCAAAGAATGTCCTGGGTATTCTAAAAAGTGTTCTAGAGCTCCCTAGGCAAACACTGTTCGCCTGAATCGTCGTCATACAAAACATCGTAGAAAAAAAAGAAAAAAAAAGAAAAGGAGAAAACATACCAATTCTAAAGTATCTTGGTAAAGAATAAAGCGGTGCAAAAAATTTTGTTAGGAAATAAAGTAATACAAATACATCGCAGTTTAAAAATATCATAGTACGAAATATCGTTGTTAAAAAAACATAAAGCACCTGCAATTCATTGCATGATGGTAACATCGCAGACATGCATTTTCTGACTATAAAAAATTTTAATCAGTTTTCATGTAACGATTTTGAATACAAGAAAAAATAAGGAATATTTTTTTATTTACATTTGATATTTTCGAATTAACTAATAAAGGTTTACTGACAAGGAAATTAGTAAAAATTAATACTGCGTGTATAGGTTAAAATAATTTTAAACTTACGTTGCTGATTATTAAAACTGATTATTTAATTAACCCCTTCTATGAGGATGTATTGTTAGTTTTTCATGAAAAAATATTATTACAAAAATGATTAGAAAGAGGAAGAGATATACATTCAAAATAATATAAACATTTATACGTAGCATTAATTTTTACTAATTTCCAGAATTTGAATGCTTAAGTTTCCTCCTTGCTTTATCAAAAACATCTATTATTTAATGCAAAACTATGAAATATGTAACTATATAAAAGCATTCCTTAATTATTGTTGCACTCACTAAAACTAAAAACTAAACTCAGTGGCGTAAACAGCCCTAATGGGCCAAGGCCTGTAGTGCCCTGAAATCTGCTTTCTTGACCGTGGGCCCCGGGGTGCGTAAGCATATGCCCTGAACAAGTGGTCAGCTTGGTCGCAGGACCCCCAGTGTTTAGTCCCCAAGCGAACTTGGTACTCATTTTATCGACCCAAGAAATGGAAATCGAGGGATGAAAGGTTGAGTCGACTTTGCCGAGCCCTGAGTTAGAACTCCGGACGCGTAATGGCAGACCGCACATTCAGTTGATCAATGTTAAACCAATTTCGCATACTGCGCATGCCCAAAAGAGAATTTGGCTCAATTAACGACTTTGACGCAGTTTTAAAAGAAGATAGCTACGGTATGTGGTTGATATTCTGTTATCTGGGCGTAAACAGTTTGGGGGTTTAAAACTTAGGTTAAACCTTTGTTAGGTTGTAAGTTGCTTCATTAATTAGAGTGTAAATATCGATTGTAAACTACGCAAATTTTTGTTTAAGAAGGATTACAAACATTATAAGATATATTAGCTGAATGTTTGTTGATTATACTTCTGAGGAATAAAAGGAAGAGTATTTACCATACAATCAAAGAAAAAAAAAAAAAATCTGAAATGTTTCAGATTTTAAATTACGTCCAAAGGGGCGTTTTTTAACATTTTGTGTGTTACCTTTCTTTATTAAATATCATGTTCCTCGCACTTAAACCATAAGATCCAGTGCAACAGCAATATCGCAAAATAGTTTTAAAACGAGCATATCTTTAGAATTTCCGATACAGAGACTCACGCGCTGGAGATAAAAATGTTTTTTTCTGCACAACGTTGCCATTGCTCGCTTTGAAATCCTTGAGTTTGTTAATCAAAAATTCGTCAAAGTTTTAAAAAATAGGAAATCGATCATAAAACAAATTTCAAATTTCAAATTTGGTCTTCCACATGCTCATATTCGTTGGAGGATTACGTTATTCAAAATTCGATGACTCTATGTACCGTTGTTTTATCACAATACGAGAAATATACATACATTTATGCAGATTTTTCATTATTTAATTTCTTCAAATATAATGCAGGACTCTAACATTTTGTGGCAACAGTTTGAAAAGTGAACCGACATTTATGAGTCCGACGCAAAATGCCAAAACGAAACTAATAGTCCTTCGGGATTCAAATCCCTTTTGACTAAAAAAAAGTTCGTATATACTTTAAGAAATTAAGAAATAAATCCAGTTCAATTGAAGTCAAAGAAATTATTATAAATAACTGGTAATAAATGTAATTTTTATGAACAAAATAAGCCAAAATGAAATAAAACAGACGCAAATACATTAACCACAAACAAATTTCCGTAGAATTATAGCTGTAAACGGTCGATAAGACCTACATGACGAACAGGTAGCCTTTGTCGCCAGTATTTCCTCCCACGCCAACGGTAGACCATTGAGCATGCGCAGTAAGAGAAATTCGTTAGCAATGATCAACTCAATGTGCGGTTTGCCATTACGCACTCCGAAACTGTGTGCTGCTGCGCGACGCGCTAGCCACTGCGCCACCGAGCCTCTTGTTGCCCTCACTAATTTTTCAAAAAATTCACCTAAATTTTTTTAAGTCAGGAAACGCATTATCTGCGATGTTTTCATCATGCGATGATTTGTAGTTGCTTTAATTTTTATTACGATATTTTAAAGTTTAGCCCCGCTATATTTTCTACCGTTATGTTTTAAAGTTGCAAGGTTTTTTTTCTCGATTTGACGGTGTCAACACCCTGGGTGCGAGACCCTACCTCTAATCGAATTAAACTGGAAGTTACGAATAAAATTCTGTCAATAACTTACTATATCAATTATTTTAAATAATGATTAAATATTAATAATTTTTAATTGAATTTTGTATACTAAAAATGAGAGTAGGGTAAAACGAAAACTGCTGAGCTGATGCATAATTCATAAGTGCTAATCATCCAGCACCAGTAAGTAGTAACATATTTACACAAAAGATTAATAAATACAAATACAAATGCTACATTAATGTAAATACAACACAAAATTTATAATACATTCAGGGGCAACACATAATACATTACTTTTCCATGACAATGCTGGGGTTTAAAATTGCCATTCGTATTTTCCTGTTGTTCATACTATTATAATTATAGAGAGGCTGTTCGCACATTTTTTAGACGATTTTGGTAAAAGGTAATAAAAAATTGTTTGTTGCAAAAGAAGTAATTGCAATTGTACTATGTTTTTAAAAGTCAAAGTTATCGTCTGAGGCTTAAAAGTTTTGTTTTTATTCAAAATGCCGAATTTAACAAAGCAGTGATTCGAAGGCTACATTTACGCTCTTTCCGAAGAGAAATAGGCATACTCCGTTATCCAAAAACGATGCGAGAGTCATGGTTTTGTGATATCTAAAGCGTCGATAGTTAATCAATAAGAAAGTAAAATCAGTAAGAAAGGAAAAAAACGTCAAATTGGAGCCTCAAGTGGGACAAAAATTCCAAACAAGTATCCAAGGAAAAAACGGACATCTTCGATTATTGCAAAGGTACGTTGTTTAATCTTAAAAGAAAATCCCCCTAGTTAAAGGACAGTTGCAAAATCACTAAAGTGCTCGGTGTGCACTGTAAACAAAATGATAAACGTTGATTTAAATCTTAAGAAAGCGAAAAAACGCAATGTGCATCGTCTTCTTCCAAAGCATATCGCTGAACGCAGGACACGCTGCAGAATTCTATATGAGAAACACTTATCCAAAGGAAAATGGAAAACAATTGTCACAATAGATGAAGCATGGGTGTATTAAATGATTGTAACAAAAAAAAAAGAGCCATTTATTATCATAAAAGGCAAGACAAAATTTAAGTACATGGTTCAAAGAATCGAAAGAAAAGTTTTTCTAAGGGATTCATGATTGTTGCTGGTTTTTCTTATAATGGCAAGTTAAAAATAAAGAGAGTGCAAAAAAATGTCAAGATTAACTCCAAATACTATCAGGAACATATTTTATCGCCAATGTTTCTGAATAAAATACCGTCGCTTTACCCACAGTGCCATCCATCTGTGAGACTCCATCAGGACAAAGCTAGCAGTCACACATCAAAATCCACTGTAAATTTCCTAAAGAAATGGAACAAAAAACTGGTATCAAGACCCTTCACTGATATCCCTACTAAATCTCCTGATGTGTCACTTATGGATTTTTGTGCTTTCGGACTTTTCAAAACTGCATTATCCAAACGTTGTCCCAAAACCCTAACAGGACTCTGGAAAGCTGTTCGCGGGGAATGGGATAGAGTATCTCTTCTACCACTTCAAAAGGCATTATTATCCTGGAAATTGCGGTGTCGAAAGATAGTTCAGAATAAGGGATGTCAAATAGAACATTTAAAACACAAGAATTTTATGTAATTTAGTTTCGTGAATACAATATACCTCGTCTAAAAAATGTGTGAACAGCCTCTGTAGTTGTAGATTCTAATTTCAGAGTTTGAGATACTTCTCATTGGAACATAGAATTTTCTGGCCAACAGTTAATTAGAAAGTGCGGAGTTGTACAATATTCAGTTCTTCATGCATAAAATTTTTTCGCACGTACCAGGGTGCGTTGGTAATTAGACGCAAAACAGATTTCTGTGCAATTTGTAACTGTTTTCTGCTTGTTCGACAAGAGTAAACACAGACTGGACAGGCATAACATAGCATGGGACGCAGACTGGATTTATAAATGAGTAATTTGTTAAAGACAGAATGCTGTTTCGAACAGTTAAGAGGTAGAATTCAGCTCTACGTACTCGAAACTTCTGAAAAATAGCATATATGTGCATGGAGACCATGAGGGAATTTGTGAGAATAACTCCAAGTCTCCTTGCTTTCTTTTCTCCTGCGATGTTTTGCATGACGACGATTCAACCGAAAATCCCAAAGTAGTTTTCTCCCCTTGCAATGTTTTCTCCGCGACATTTTCACTTGCTACTAAATAAGGGAAACTAAATATACTTCAGTGGATCGTTGAGCAAAATTTACGTCAAAGAGGAAACAGTGAATTAAACAAGTGTTAGTAAAACTACGATTTAAAACCGACGAGACTTCTGGAAATCTAATTTACATTGATTTCGAGCACATGTATCATTTTGTCTTTTTTCATTGGTTTTACAGACAGAAAGCATATATTTATTCTTCGACTTATCCATTTTATATACAACTGTTTGTTTTTAGCTCAAAGGGGCAGTTTGCCCAGAAGGTCTATTAATTTCGTTTTGGCATTTTGCGTTGAATCATTATAAACGGCGTATCACTTTTCAAATTGTTTCCATCAAATATTATCGCCCTGTGTTATACAAGGTGTGTTCGAAAAGTTCGGTGATTGGTCTCATAATTAAAAAACCGCGCCGGTTAGGAGCTTGCACTCACGCAGACGCAGTGAGAGAAATGTCATCTAGAGCCATCTACCGGCCATTTTACGACAGATAAGAGGAAGCGCACGCTATGGGCAGTTTAACACAGTCAGTGTGACATATAGCAACGCATAAACATAAAGTTTTGCTTCAAGTTAGACAAAACGGCGAAGGAGACACATGACATGTTAGTGAAAGTTTACGGTCAGAAAGCAGTGAGTAAAAAGTGTGTTTATGAGTTGTTTAAACGTTTTACAGACGGAAACCAGGTTCCAGTTTTGGATGACCCTCCATATTCTCCAGATCTGGCTCCCGCAAACTTTTTCCTATTTCCCCTGTTCTCCTGTTCCTGTTTCCTCAAAGGAGTTCTGAAAGGCCAACACTTTTCCGACATTACTGAGATCCAACAACATGTCTGACAACGGTGCTTCGAGCCATACCGAAAGAAGCGTTTGCAGACAGTTTCCAACAATTGTACACCCGATTGTCAAAAGTGTATTATTGCGAATGGCGAATACTTTAAAGGCCAGTAAAGCTATTTTGCTTGTTTCTCTTGTTTCCTTTTTTTTTTTTTTTTTTTTTTTTTTATGGTAAAATTCACCGAACCTTTTCGAACACACCTTGCATTTAAAGAAAGTAAATGATAAAGAATCTGCATGTATGTATGTATGTTTCTTGTACTGTGAAAAACAACCTAGAGACATCAAATTTTGAATAAAACGTAGTCCTCCACACGTATATGAGCATCTGGAAGCCCGAATTTGGAATTTGTTTTATCATTTATTTCATACTTTGTAAAATTTTAACAAATTTTTGATTAAGAAACTTAAAGATTTCAAACGAGCAGTGGCAGTACTGTAAGGAAAAAATGACATTTTTATCTTCAGCGCGTGAGACTGTGCATCGGAAATTCTAAAAATATGCTCTTTTTAAATTATTTTGTGGTATGGCTGTTGAATTGAATTTCATGGTTTAAGTGCGAAGAACATGTATTCAATAAATAATGGTAACACACAAAACGTTAACAAACGCCAGATTGGGCGTAATATAAAATCTGAAAGCTTTCAGAACAGTATTTTTAATTTTGTTTCAGTAATGATTGCCTTGCAGTTACTTTTCCTTTTTCCTTCGACCCAAATGATTCCTAATAGCCATTGTAATGAAGTTTTAAAGAACTTTCGCCATTTTTGAACGAACAGCAAACTTTATTAGTCAAAACATACAGAATAACTGGGAAAACATTTTTAAGCGCGCGCATCGTCTGCGGATATTCTTTGCGAATAAAATCATCTGCGGTAATTTACATTTCTTAATGGAATTATGTTGGTAGCGTAGCAACGCAAATACGTTACACCATACAGCAGCAAATCCTAAAGCCGTGTTAGTCAATAGAAAATAAAATTGATTAAAGCTACTGATATCTATATTTCATTTTCACATTCATCTATTCCTAAAGCTTTATCTGCTTGTGTTAGAAAAATGCAATATTTGGAAGATTTTGATCTTTCATTTTTGATAGTATCCTTGCCAGTACATCATCATATAACCATTGATAGTATTTGACTTTTATTACTCTGGTAATAAGAAGATGATCTGACCTGTCACTTTCAATTTGCTGCTTATGAATCCCAGCTTCGTTTCGCTCATTTGTATTATTCATAGACATGAAGGAAATTTTGTTGAGTATTTTCGAGTTGCCAGTGTTTGATTCTGAAGGAGAATGAAAGGTATTGCAGGATTGTTGGCTATTTATTACGCTACATATGACCGGTCCGTATTCATCCAAGTTTTGGTTGTCAAGAATTGAATACATTGATTCCACATCTAAATCGTACCTATAAAGAACACAAAAATAGAAATGCAGCATTCCGTTATGCGATGTAAATTTCATTTGAATGGTTATACGTTTACATTTTACCATAAAAGTGACTATATTCAGTAATTTAAACATTAAATAAATTTCAAAAAGCAGAGTTTGTTTTAAATACTAATTGCTATAAACTATATAACAGTCATTTAGTTTCTTACATAAATTATCTTTAACTTAAGAAAGATATTCCACGCTTCACTTTGGTGCTAGAAATGTTCGACCTTAACAATGAAACTAAATAATAAGACACACATATCTAGCGCGTCTATCTTAATTGCAGTTGTAGACAATATGAAAAATACTTGCATTATTTAAATACTGTATCTGATTTTTACTTCCTTGTACGAAGTAAAAAGGAAGTATTGTAATCGCGAAAAGTTTCAGGCAGCATATTTCAACGAAAATATCCATTTTGACCGCTATCGAATGCAATTTAACGATGGTTTTGTGTGATATCTGTACGTAAGGACAGAATAAAATACTCTTTTCCTTCAAAAAATTATAAAACTGCTTTAAAATTAATTCTGAAGAGAATTTTTCGTGGCGTCTGTACGAACGTATGTACATACGTGCGTACGTACGTACGTACGTATCTCGCATAACTCAAGAACGAGTAGCCTCAGAACGTTGAAATTTTGTATATAGGACTACTATAACATGTAGATGTGTACCTCGTATTTTGGTTGCAATCGGCCGCACCAAACGTATATAAATATATTTATATATATATCCACTCTGTTACCCGGCTCAGTGATCTCAGTTTCTTAAATCTTATATGTTTGTAAATTGTACATTCTGTGCTTTAAAAATGATTGAATTATGTTGTTCTTATCTTCCGGTTAAGGTTTTTATGCCTTTAGTAAATCTCTATGCAATATTTTTAGAATTATCAACAGTTTTAAAGTTGCTTAAGTGTCGCTAAGCCTAATACTTCTCTTGATGGCGGCCATTGATGTTTACATTTGAAACAGGAGACTAGTGGATTTGTTGCCAATCTAGAGAAACTTAGCTTCGCAACAACAAAGATAACGCATTCATTTATTATTACCAATTAAATCATGATTAATTCTTTCTGGAATTTTTTCGAGGAAATAAGTGTTTAAGATTTACTTTGTAATTTTTAATAGAGATATTTTGAGTTTTTATGTATTTTTGACTTCTCGCGAAGTGAGAACTGAATTAATTAAATGAGAAATACTCAATCGTCTGTGAAAAACTGTTTCTTTTTTATTTTGTTTGCTTAATTTCTTTTATACATCATTGTAGCTTTATTATAGTATTTGAATAGAACATGTCGCAACGATCAGATAATTCTATTCTTTAAATGATATAAATTTTGTGCATTATGAATTATAATATGAACGAAATATATAAGTTAACTGTTATATAATTATTAATACTGTTAAGTGAATCTAGCGCCAGACTGTCGCTATGGTAAACAAATACTAGAGTGAATTTTAAAGACTGCATTTATTCTATTGTGGTTTATGCGCTGTCGGCGAAGTAGATTTAAATCAATCCAATAAGTTTAAATGAAATGCAAGAAAAAATGCTTATAATTTAATATTCCGTACAAGGATGTCATGTGGTGTACACATCAGATTTTTTAAAAAAAGATTCAGTACTAAATTTCCAAAATAAAAGGTATCTTTTAAAATTACATTAGATAAAATTTTTGTAATTTTCTAAACCCAAAATATTCACCTTCTTCTGAAAAAAAAAAGATGATCTTCTGAGAAAATTTAAAAAAAAAATCTCTAAGCTCATGTTCACCTCTATAATTTCATAATCAAAATTCATTGGAATATTTCATAGGAGTGGAGAGGTAAATTTTGAATTTTACGGTCAGCTAACTCCGAGATAAGTCAAATGAATTTCTTGTGAACACTGGTGAGGGGATACCCATAATGTTTACAGTTCGACAGAGTTCAAAATATCATCATCTACGTAAAGAATACTCTTTCCCTAATTATGTTGTAAGATTCCAACCTGGGTACCTTTAAGTTAAAGTTGAGGAACTTTAAGAACTGATAAGCAAATAATCGCTTGAGTTCGTGAGACAGAGAGCAAAACGTGAAAAGAGTTAAATACCCTTTATTATTCCAAATAAAGTTCACAGAATACTCCTTCTTGGAGTTTTACAATAAGGGCTTGAACTCAGGAAACTAAGAAATTAAACTAATCTAACTAAAAAGATATAGCCGAAGCTATCAAGATTCTAACAGAGCTGGCCGCTTAACGCTAATTAACGACGAAGCTAAGCTATCAAGGGCCTAAAGTACGGCCGAGCGTAATGATAGCTTAAGAGAGAGAGAGAGTAGCCTGCAAAGGTGAACGCGCGCTAGTCAGAATCTCTAGCTCTCTAACGAAGTCAGTAGAACTTCACAGTTAAATACTTTTCCTCATTGGCATTCAAACGCGATTCTAAAAATACGCTCTGTCCGGCAGTTGTAAGCTGAAATTCAGGAAGATAGGAAAGTAACTTTTAGCTAAAAATTAACTGTTATAAAAATTAACATAAACCTTACAATGTAACGGGAGTATGTATGTGCTTTTTCCTTCCACTGATTGCTTATTAAAATTTACTGTTATTTTTACTTCTTTGTAAAAAGTAAGTAAAAAGGAAGTATTATAATCGCGAAAAGTTTCAGGCATCGTATTGCAACGCAAATATCCATTTTCACCGCTATCGAATGCAATTTAACGATGTTTTTGCATGACATCTGTACGTAAGAACAGAATAAAGGGCTCTTCTCCCCACAAAAAATTGTAAAACTAATTGAAAATGAATTCTAAAGATAATTTTTCCTGGCGTCTGTACGTACGTATTTCGCATAACTCAAAAACAACTAGCCTCAGAACGTTGAAATTTTGCATATAGGACTGCTATAACAGGTAGATGTGCACCTCGCATTTTGGTTGCAATCGGCCGCACCGAAAGTATATAAATATATGTATATATATAACCACTCTGTTACTCGGCTCAGTGATCTCAGTTTCTTTATTTTTATATGTTTGTAAATTGTGCATTTTTTTATTTAAAAATGATTGAATTATGTTTTTCTTATCTTCCGCTTAAGGTTTTTTGGCCTTTATTGAATCTGCACGCAATATTTTTAGAATTATCAACAATTTAAAAGTTGTTTAAGTGCCGCTAAGCCTAATAATTTTTTCCATGGCGGCCGTTGCGTGTTTACATTTAAAACAGCAGAATAGTAGATTTGTTGCCAATCTAGAGAAAGTAAGCTTCGCAATAACAAAGATAGCGCCTTCTTTTATTATTGCGAATTAAATCATGCTTAATCCATTCCGGAATTTATTCGAGGAAATAAGTGTTTAAGATTTACTTTATAATTTTCAGTACAGACATCTTGAGTTTGAATGTATTTTTTCCTTGTCGCGAAGTGAGAACTGAATTAATTTAATGAGAAATACTGAATCGTCTGTGAAAAACTATTTCTTTTTTGGTTTGTTTTCTTAATTTCTTTTATATATCGCTTTATATTTATTATAGTATTAAATAGAACATGTGGCAACGATTAGATAATTCTTTAAATGATATAAATTTCGTGCATTCTGAGTTAAAAATGAATGAAATGTGACGCTGTTAAGTGAACCTAGGGCCAGAGTGTCGCTATGGTAAACAAATACAGTGAATTTTAAAGAGTGCATTTATTCTATTGTGGTTTATGCTCTATCGACGAAGTAGATTTAATTCAATCCAATAAGTTTAAATGAAATGCAAGAAAAAATGGGTATAATTTAATATTCTGTACAAGGAAGTCATGTGGTGCACACATCAGATTTTTTTATTTTGTAATTGCTGCCAATTTAAACTTACGATGAATATTTATTTGGTTGAATTTACAAGAATTTCTATAAATTCAGAATCGTGGGTAATGACATAGGAAAATTGCCCTTGTAGATTTTAGAATGCATCAAAATCTGTATTCGCCCTGATCGGTACGGCGATTAGCATTGCTGATTGTTGTATTTTTGTGTCCAAGTTCGAATCCAGCCAATGATTTGATGTCTGTACGTGTATAGTGTCTTTGCGGAATAAGGGCACTTAAAACACATGGCGAGCAGAAAGTTCCCACGGGTGATTCAATGATAGAGGAAGAGGCAAAAGAGATTCTCAGACATGTCCTGTAGATAGTTCTTGGCGTACTATCTCCTATTAAGTGCCGAGGGTGTATGACAACAACAGACGCAATTCTGCCCTCTCCGTCACAATAACAATCGTGGGATAGTTCTGATGTTATTGTCAGACAAGTGAGAAAAGTGATAATAAAATTTGCAATCCCCACTTCAGTCCATGCAGAGGGTGCTATCTCTTGCTGTCAATGAATAAATCCCGTTATATGAGGGAAAAGAGGTGATCCACCATTTTTATACCATGTACAACTGTAGTTATCCGTTGGTTAATTGATTTAGTCAAAGCACGGAAAGATGATCTGCCTACTGAAAGAGGTGCCTTCGTGGAAGAGTTTGGGACGAAAAATGGCTCATATTTACGTTATACAGTAGCGAAAGTTTCAAAAACGCCATTCAGCCAATCCGTTCGCTGGGATGTGAACCGCGGTCGAATTATTACTATTAACCGGTCTTAGTGAATTCACTTCTGATAGACTAATTATTGTAAAGAACAAGAGGAATTTAGGAGTGGAAAATAATATGCTGTAAGCAATTAAACCTGTAAGATCGTTCTCTGCTATTCCACATAAACTAAATTAGATCCTGCAATGAACTTGGCGAATTCTCGTATATGCGTGAATAAATTACCAGCACAAAAAGAAGGGTGAAAAGTAACTCTTTAATTAATTCAAATAATTAACATGTAGGGTTTATATTTATTTTAACTAACATTTATTTTAAGTTTAAGCTATCTTTCCTGTCAAGCCTTTAACTTTCCCATAGAATTGCCAATGCCGGAGTATGTAAATCGTAGTAGAACGC